AGTCTTAGGTTTATCTACTTCAGCCATTTTCAATTGATGAAAACCCTATCTTAAGTCTAGAGTTAAAAACCACCTGGCTCCACTTAGGGCATCGAGAGTATCATCAATTCTTGGCAGTGGATATGAGTATTTTTCGGTTATACTGCTAAGAGCCCCGAAGTCCACACAGCAATGTTGCGTCCCATCCTTCTTCTGGACTAACACGACGGGAGCTGACCAGTGACTATCTGATTTCTCAACTATCCCTTCCTTGATTAGACCATCCATGACCTTCTCTATCTCTTGTCGCTTTGCTGGAGCTATTCTCCTGGGAGGGATCCTTATTGGACGGTGATTGCCTGTGTTTATTCTGTGCTCTACAAGGTTTGTACAGCCGAGGTCATGATCTCCTTTCTTGTTCCAGTTGCCACTGTTGTAGTCTCTTTTCTTGTTTATGTTCTTTCTCCTCCAATAGCTGTTGTAATCTCTCTTCTTGTTTCTTTTCGTTTTCCTCCAACAACTGCTGTAATCTTTCTTCTTGTTTATTTTCTCGTTCGAGCTGCCACTGTTGCAGGTTTTCTTGCAACTGCTGTTGTGTCTCATCTTGTTTCTTTTCTTTTCCTCCAACAACTGCTGTAATCTCTCTTCTTGTTTATTTTGCTGTTCGAGATGCCACTGTTGCAGATTTTCTTGCAACTGCTGTTGTCTCTCTTCTTGTTTCTTTTCTCGTTCTTCTTGTTTATTTTCTTCTTGTTGTTGTTTCTTTTGCTGCCCTTGTATTGCTGCCATCAAATCTGCTAAGCTGTAGTTTGATTTGCCGCTTCTCGTTTCTATTTTTTTTCTTTCTTTTCCATCCCACTCTCTGACACCAATTTGTTACGTCTCCGTTCGTTAGTTAATTTTCCGTATAATTTCTTTCTGAAGAAAATTTACCGATACAAGTCCTTTCTTAAATAAAACTGGTTTATTCTTTCTGAATACAACTTTGCAATACACTTAATTTCCATAGTCGCGCTATAACATACGCTATAATTCACAACGAACGTCTCACGTGCTCGACTCAACAATATTCTCTCTCTGTCCGCAGTTCAATTACACAGCATCACATTGTTGCCGTCGCTTCTTGACCGGTCTTATATATAAAAGAATACCGAAATCTAGTAAACGCCCGAGCATACAGGATCCTTCTAGAAGTTCATGACGTGTTACTAGCGTCACATGACTTCCGCTGTCGTAACAATATGTCTGGTTAATCGTTGTTACGGTTAATCGCCTATAATCTATATGATCACAAAAGCTTAATTATTTATTAGTTAGTATTTTGTATTGATAGCTATTAAATATTAGTTTTTATCCTACGTTTCCATTGCTTTTGGTATTTTTAGAAGAGACCCTGAGTATGGGCGCCCGCAGAAATTTACCGGGGGGAGGGGGCAAAGTCGAAATCAATGAATAAAGAAACTTATATTTCTCATTCCCGCCCGCGGACGCCCATGTGTCATCCTGGAAAGAGCACCAGTCTTTGTAACAAGACCCAGGACTGAGTCTCAGTCTTTCTCAAGAAATAGGGTGTATCCTAATTAATATCTAGTAATAAAAAATCATAAATAATTAAGCTTAGGTGATCGTATATGTTACTATACAATCTTGCCATAAACACTAAAGGAACGTTTGGTTACACTATACCATAGAGAAAATATTAAAATATCAATCAATTAAAAGTTAAGAGTTGGTGTATCAATAAATTGTGGTGAAATATAAAGTAAATGTTAAACTTTTCATGTAATCTCAAATGTTAATTTTATAAAGTCAAAAACCTTACATTTTTAAGATAGAGTGAAATCATAAACATACTTTTTTGGACTGTTTATTAAGGGATTTAATAAATTGGTTCTACAAGCTAAAATACCTTCATGGTAATATCCACGTAGGAAAATGACATCTCGGATTTTGCTGCTTTTAAACAAGTCATTCACGAGATGCACGAATTTGTCATTGAAAGCACCTCTTTCAGAAATCATGCCACTCCAACACTTCTTGGTTACAGTTAATACCGGTAGGTGGAGTTGTGGAGCTAATGTCTGTAGCCTCTTACTCGTTAAAACGTCACATGAGGTCGAAATGAAAACGGTGCTTATATTTATAATTTCTGGAGATGAAAACATATTTTTTCCCATATTATTCAAGTACTATTAATAAAACGTAATATCACGGTAATTATTTTAAGACTATGCTGTTTATAACTGATATTCATACGCTTTTATTGAAAATTGTATTAAGAAAACATTAAACTGCAATGTAAAAAAAAATATTGAAACAAAAACATTTGAAAATAAACATTGGTTTATCAATTACAGGATTTTTTTAAAATTCAAACTACAATAATGAGGTTTTGCACGTGACGTCACGAGGTGGAAAATCTCCGAGTCTGCCATTGTGGACGTCGAGCTACCGCGTGTTTACTCTAGGCTTATCAGTGTGAACGTTACTTGTAAGTGGCTTAGTGCCTTGGGTGAATCAGGTACCATTACGATCATAGTAATTGCCTGTTGTGCTGTTGGACGAAGCAATAGACAGGGACAAAAACCTGGTCTTGCTTTCTATCATTTTCCAAAGACAAAGAGCGATGGAATCGATGGATTTCATTGTCAATCAGAAATACAAGGAACCATCAGACTACAGCCATCTGTGTAGTAAACATTTTATAGCAGGTATGAATGCTAATTTTTCAATATTACAAAAATAAATATCACATAAATGTATCCTTTTATACTATGGGATAATAATGTAATTAATCATCCAGCCCCAAAGCCAGGTAAACAATTTGATAACATGACAGTATCCGCCTGCATTATCTCTCAAAATGATACACACAACACAACAAACAAACTTGTCAGAAACCTTGCTCTGCCTGTTACGTCTCCGTTTGTTAATTGATTTTTCCGTAACTTCGTTCCGACGAAATTTTAACGACACAAGTCTTTACTTAATAAAACTGGTTTATTCTTTCCGAATATAACTTTATCGATACACTCAACTTCAATATCCACATTATGTTGTCTTGCTCACAATTTGTTTTTGTTTTAAAAAATATTTTATAGTTATTCGAATATCGATTATGTAGCTTTTTTCACAAATTTATAACAAACTTCAGCTTTTTAAACGTTTATTTTAGATAGTAATTTATTTTAAGATATCTGTATATTATCAACCTGTTACAAACAAACTATTTTGTGGTTTAATTTAAGGTTTACCTTTTTTATCATTTAGATACTGAATAGTTTCTTACTGTAGTTAAACACCAAATTAAAAAACATAAAAAGGAAAAAATTAATTACCTTACTGGATAGGAAAATGTCGCCCTTAGTGGCACAGCGGTAAGTCGGTAAGTCGGTGGACTTAATTGTGTAGTTTTTTGCTTAACTACAAACAATCAAAATGCCAAAGTGAGCAGGGATGATATCCAATTCACCGCTAGTATTAACAGTCCACTTACCTTTCAGTCTAAGCATATCCTTTAGTTCTCGTATTGTATGAACATGAACAGAGAAAGGATAATGAAGCCTTGTTATCATTTGGTTGGCTGCTTGTAATAGCTTTGTATTCAGGTCACCACAGGTTATGTCTTCCAGGACAACTGAAACAAGTTAAGGAAAGCTAGTATATTTAATTCTAAATATCTGTTTCTTGTTAAACAAGCTGCATAACGAGTTGTGCCCACTATGAGGATCGGATCCCCAATCTTAGTATTACAAGCCTTCAAGCTTACCGCTGAGTCTTCGAGGAGCAATCTTAAAAGTAAGGTAATGTTTTACAACTGAAACATATCTACACTTCCTAGTAATGCATCACGTGAATCTTCTCCACATGTATCCTTGAAGTTTATTTTCTAAAGAACAACAAAAACGAACATTTATACAGACCCTATTCTTAATGGTACAACCAACATATCAAGCACCAGTAAGACTGGCAAAAAAAAGAAGTTAGATCAAACACATAAAACGAAATTTAATTCTAAAGTACAACAACAGTAAATTTTACATTAGGCAAGTTATGATTTTAATAGTTACAAAGTTTCGGCCCATAGTATCGAGTCATCATCAGGTAAGAGCTACATTGTATTTTAGAATTATTTATTCAGTACAGTAGTTTCTCATTTAATATTAAGAAATATAATTTAATTTTTGTGAGGAATGATAAAATCTGGAGTTCGATTCTCTGCGGTGGACACAACAGATCGTCCAATGTGGCTTTGTAAAAAAACAAAAAACAATTCTTTAGGAGTATGGTGTGAAGTTTTTTATTTAAATAAGAAAAGTATTCAGGCTAAGAAAGAAAGAAGTGCCTAAAATCACTGTAAGGCAATAAAAAAACATTTATGTAGTCAACGTTTCGGCTAAAAGACCTTATTGTGTTCAATACACAAATTATTATTATTTGCACTATTATGCACAATTTCTGAGAACTGTTTAGTTTCTTGGTCTCTGTCGCAACATTATTTCAGGTAGAATCAGGTATGCAAATAATTAATAAATGGTATGGTACACAATGAAATCTTCTTCCTCTTTTAATTTTAACGTATAACATTTCGGCCTTAAGTTTACTATAAATGCTATGCTCAGAAACACTGACGCTAGATGGACAGAGGGTTGTTCACAATCTATAGTAACAATATGCATATCTAATCACATCGACCTTGACCATCCGGGTTAAAAATCTTGAACGTCTTGTTTTCATTACGTTTTGGTGTTGTGATTTGCAAGTATAAATGTCTCCTCAGATTGATCACTTCTGGAAGGAGTTACTGTATAGGACTTTCCAACGTGAAGTTCGCCTATTCCTTGACTCTAAAAGCTTGCATGAATTTTGAGCGTTTCGAACAAAAGGATATCTGTCATGTTGAACTTATTGATAAAGTAAGAGAAAGTGTAATTCCAGTTAAGAAAATCAGATTATGCCACAACCTTCTTCCCACCGCACACTGGAGGTAGTAAAAGAAGTTAAACAGCTTGTCACTGGCAGTTGCCCAAGAACATAACGGTCCATTGCAGTCAAAGTAGAAACCTCCCATAAAAATGTAAACCTAGTTAAAAGGAAAACAAAATGACAAAAGGTGAATGAGTGGAATCTTTGAATTGGCATTTAGCAAATGAAAGTGTCGTCATATTGGACGAAGTATATGTCAAGGTAAGTGTTTATGAACGTCCACACTATTTATTGTCGTCCTGCTGGTGATACAGCATTTCAAAAATGACACAAAACATATTGTGAAAGTTTTTGTAAACGATTTATGGTGGATGCAAGTTACAGCTACAATACCAAATAATAATAGTAACATTGAATAAGTCAATAAAAATACCAAAGTAAAGTATGCATACTCTCAGTCTATGGTGTTGTTAACTATGACGTGAGAAAATATTATCTTTGTACGGATTAGACGCTACTCTGGTAAGAATACATTAAGCCAAAACATTCATACAAGAGGCAAGTACAAACGGGAATTTTTGGTATATTTTCAGTGGGTTTGTTTGTTTGTAATTATGCACAAAGCTACACAATGGGCTATCTGTGCTCTGCCCACCACGGGTATCGAAACCCGGTTTCTAGCGTTGTAAATCCGCAGACATACCGCTGTGCTACTGGGGGGCTTTTCAGTGGGAAGTTGCTTAAAATAATGAAAACCCATAAGTTTTAATGTCTTTTTGTTTACCTTTTTAAAGAACCCTAGTATCCTTTCATGGTTTGGGTGTACCTTTGTGGGTGTGTGTAGCTTCTCTCTCTGTGATTGGATTTATCTTTGTGCATGCAGTCATTGATGCTCTCCAGTATCCTGTCTCTAAGTTTGGATGCGTCTTTTTGCATACAATCTCAAGTATCCTCTGTCTCTCTCTAAGTTTGTATGTGTCTTTGTTTTATTCCATCTGAAATGTGTTCCAGTATTCTTTCTCTCTTTCTTGACGTTTGAATTATTTAGTTTTATAATAGTTTTATTCAGTCCAACATGTGTTCCAGCATCTTCTTCCTCTCTCTCTGGGTTTGGATGTGTCTTTTGGATATGCTATTTCTGATGTGTTTCATGTCCTTTCTCTGTAAGTTTGATATGTTTCAGTTACAAACAAAATTCTAGTGTGAGAAGTTAAAAGTACTAGCCATATGTTAAATTATTACACTGATGAAGAATTTAAATTAAGGTCTTTAGAAAGCTGTGTAACAATCTGGTAAAATATATATAGAATCTCTATGTAAAAGCTGATGAAAAATCTAAAAATATGTTTGGAAAACCTGGTGAAGTCCGTGGAAAATATGCAGCAAATCTGTGCAAGTCATACTCTTCCAGGCCTCAACACTGTTTTAATATGAAAATAAACTTGAATTTTTGACACGAGAAAAGTGATTGGTGCCTGTTAGGTAAATTGACCAATGAACAGTGAAGATCATGGACGAGCCAACCCGCAACTAGTGCCCAATTTGCTGTAAAGAATAACTCGCCCATTTTACCCAATTAGCCCCTGAAAAAAGTTAGAAACTTGCGTGAGCAATACTATGTTCCAGTCCTGAGAACTATAGAGAAAAAAGAAACATTTTGTGAACTTAACTTTTTAACTAAAACGTATGGAAAATAGGTAGTATAGCCCGGTACTAAACTTGTTTCTTCATGGCTTTCATCTGAGCCCCAGTCTTCAGTAGCTTTTTGGGAGTGCAACAGATTTTTTATAACATAAAAATGTGCTGAATCATTATGGAGAAACCCCAATTTTTTAGTTTATTGAACAGTTTCTAAGAAATTTTTCTATTCTGAACTGTATTCAATAGCATGTCCAGGAATGGAAATCTCACATTAATATATGTTACCATTATGACTTGCAATCACTAGCATGTCCAGGAAAGGGAGTATAAAATTTAAGTGTTCCCATCCTGACCTGCAGCCACTATCGTGTCCAGGAGAGGTGGTGTAAAGCCCAAGTGTTTTTTCCTGGTGTCACTAGCATGTCCAAGAAAGGTAGTATCATCTTAATAAATATTTACATTCTAACCTGCAGTCACTAGCATATAAGTGAAAGGTAAAATATTCCCTTTTTGGCCTGCAATCACTTTCGTGTCCAGGAAAGGTAATCTCTCATCTTAGTGTTTCCATTTTGACCTGTAGTCATTATTGTAACCAGGAAAGGTGGTGTAAAGTCGAGGTGTTCTTATTCTTTCCTGTTGTCCCTAGCATCTTCAGGAAAGGTACTCTCACCTATTAGTGTGCCCACTCCGACCTGTAGTCACTATCGTGTATGGGAAAAATAGCCACATGTTACAAATGCTTTATTGTTAATTAAACGAACTCACGTTACTGCAGTTCTTGATATCGTGAAAGAATAGCTGATGGGCTAAGAAATGCGGTCATTTACCAAATATATGATAAACAAAATGAAGAAAATGTGTTTTTTTAAAGCAATATCCAAGTCTTTTAGATTTTAAACATGAAAATGATGGCAAAATGTGAGGGTAGTCTGATACTCACGGTAACCCCACTGTTAGTTTACAGAAAGAGAAATCAAAATAGAAATAGTTACTTGTGAAGGCAACATTTTGTAAGTGCTTAAATAAATAAACATTCATATCACCCCTTTTGATTGAAACATTACTCTTCTAGTCTGAGTGTCTAAAATGAGACTAGTATTTCCTAGTTTTTACATCATTTCACGCAACGTAGACAGAAAATTATTAGTCATGACGTTTAACAATTTATTAAAATCTAATTCAACATTATTCTTCCCAATATTTTAGGCAACGTAACAGTAGCAGATTTTCACTGTAAGAGCTTTAAACATGGCCCACTGTGGTAGTCTCAAGTAAAATCAATTTCTCTTAGAGTGTAAAGGAGAGGGCCGCATAATAACGAGAGATTCGACCAAGATATTTACTACAAAGTAATTCTGAATTATCTGAACATGACTGAGTTTATAAAAGAAAAAGCCTGTAGCCAATTAAGAAACACATCGATAACATGCACAAACGACAATTTTGTATTAAAACAGGGAGGTAAAAAACACATAGTATGCCTGCTTGCCACAAGATCCAAACTAACATCTAGAAAATTTCTCAAACTAATCAGTCCGTTGGATCGTTTGAGTACTCTTCAGATGTTTTAATTCAATATCTAACTGTTTGAGATCTACTAGATTTTATTCATGATAATTATTAATAACGTTGTTGTTATTCATTCTTTTTAAATATATCAATATTGATACTTTCAACTTGAGTGGCATAAATCTCTAGGTTTCATTTATTAGCTATCCTTAATTCTGAACCACTGACGAGAGGGAAAAGACGGCTAACAAGCAGAACCTTGAAAACATCACCGAAGACTGGGTAAAAATGGGTAAGACAGATAGCTTATAATGCACTCGTTAGTGTTTCTTGTTTTAAGAATTATAATTGCTGTAGCTCTAAAAAGTTGTAGAGTAAGGTAGTTCTGTTTTATTAAATAAATATACAATGAACATATTTTACTACACGTTGAAATTTATTCACTGCAAGCTTTCAGACACTTTACTGAATATATATTTAAAGTATTACAATTATATTTGTCATAAGACATTAGTATTAGGCCAGTTAAATTTTTAAACACTACATTCTTAATCTAGTCCATTAAGGATTTTTAAGAATTAAAAGAGTATACAATAGTATTTCAACCACATAATATTTGCCACATCTATTACCATTTGATGCCTTTCATTCAATCCAGCTCCCTTTAGGCCGGTTGGGATACAATAAAGTGAATAAACACAACAGTTGTCGGAATACTGTTTAAATCCTTAAAAGACTAGATTAAGAATTTATAATTTAAATACGTAATAGACCTGATGCTAATATCCTATGACAAATGTAATTGTAAGCATTTTTCGCTTTCTTTTAAAAGGCGTACACAACATGAAAATTTTTATTATATTGAACAGAGTCTCGCGAAAGCTTCATTGTTTAACATAAAAAAATAACTTATTAAAAAGAGATAAAGTCGAAAAAAAGAACTAATTTGAGATGTTTCAGTTAACTACCCTTCCCCAGGCTAAGAGAACAATACAGAGCTAAGATCGGATCAGATTTTCGACAACCCTAAGATATTCTTGGATACAGATTCTATGAGGTAAATTATTAATCTTAGTGTTCAAAAAAATGAGTATTGAATAAACTATTTCCACAACCCTAAAATATTCTCTGTCTAAGGCTATTTAAGTACATAACAATTCTAATTTATTATTAATATATTAATATTCAATAAGACTCTTCAAACAATTTTATCTTCATCTGGATATAAAGATTTATAATATTGTTGCATCAGCGAAGTCACATGACTAGTGTCACGCCCCCTGCTTTCTAGAACTATCCTGTACCTTGGCGAATGCTCTAGCATT